TACGCAATTTAACACCACCAGAGAGAGAAAGACACACCAGTGACTATTTCGCTTCTAGACTTTTTCCCAAGGGCCAAATTAATTACGAGACCGTCGGGTGTTTCGGACATGCCGGCATAAAATCTGAATATTCCGCAAAAAAATTGATAAAAATTGTGAAAAGCGTTTCTCTACAGAGAATGAAGGCTTTTTTACTTTGCGTAAATCAAAAAGTGGAATTTCGATTGGCAATATTGGTTTCGTTGGAGGAACAAAAACGATTGGAAACTGATAGCAAATGAGTTGGAAAGTGGCGCGGCAATTGAAGCGTGCGCCGCTTTCGTAACGTGCATGCATAAAGTTATTATTTACTTTGCAGGTTGACATTTCGGTGCGGCACGCATCAATATTTCAGGCGCGTGTTGAATAAATATTCGCAAATAGCACCGCACCAGCCTTCTATTTACTCGGCATTACAGCCCGCGTTCTAGCACAAACGGCGAGCACACTGCACGCGCGCGTTCGTCCCATAAAATTGGTTTTACATGTCAAACAACATTGGCGCGCCCTTTATTGACTCCTCTCCCTCCCTCTCTCTCTCTGATTGTAGCGAAACACACATTCCTCGCCAGTGATAAGAGATTCGAGAAAGGCAAAGCCAGCCGCTCGCACAAACAATCGGCCTCGCGTGGACTTTATTGGATTCCATCGCGGCAGGCGCACGCTTTGATGTCTGGAAAGAAAGAGAAGAGAACTTTTCCGCTCAAAATCAAAGAAAGTTTTTAAGGCTTATTTACATGCGGCCTTTTTCAAAACAAATTCACGTCATTGCAGACGACAAACAGACGGGATTCGCTACCGTCTAACTTTGCCCAACCTTAACGAGTTTTCAAACCTAAAAGAGTTTTTATTATTTTATTTAAAGATAAAATAATAGATTTTATTTTTATTTGATCCACCAAAAATTTGATTTAAATTTTTTCGGTAGGAAATTCCAGATTGTTAGCCACAAGATCACTGCACCCTTATTTCTGGCTGAGATTTTTCTTACTCAAGAGTAAAGAAATTGTGCGTAATTTCTGGCTAACCAAGTGAGTGAAGCAGTTTTTTGTTTTTGTCATATCGCATAATGGCATTTTCGCTGGGGAAGCCTGCTGCCGTCAGCCTTTTGTGTCCCGCATTATTTATTTCTCGCAAGCGCGCGCGCGGCGGCCTCGTTCTTTTGACTCTTTTCATTTTTTATCACGAGTCATTCTGCAAGAGTAACCTCTTTAATATTTCCTCCTTCCAGCACGCAGTGGCTTTATGTTGTGTGTTTTGTAGTCGTTCTTTATTTTGAAATCCCCTAATCGGCTTGGAGCAGCTCAGAGGAGCCAAAAGGCCTGCTGCCGCCTGGCCCCGGGCAATATGTCAGGATTCGCGACTACTTTCCGGCCAGCAGCCCCCCTAGACACGACCCGCAAGGAAAAATGCACGCCCGAAAGTCGTTTTTCATCGAGATATTCTTAAGACGCCATAAAACTTCAGAAAAATGGTTCAGGTCAGTGTGTGAAAGTGATTTTCGTACAAAAGAAGTGAAAACACGTGCTTGCAAGCAGTTTTAAATTTACTGAATTTACTAAAATTGGATCTTATACAATTTTTATTTCCCGCTAAACAACTTGCTAAGATATCAATAGATTTGAATGGAAAATAAATTTGTATGTACTTTATTATAATAACATATATAAAAAAAAGATTTTTTTTTAATAACATGTGTAACTTAATAATTTACAAAAGTACAATTCATTTTTAAGAAAGCTACTTGTTTTTTTTTATTTTTATTTTATAAAACAGTAAACTTCTTTTAATAACACCATTATTTTTTTGAATTCAGATATCGGAATTTGAATACATTATATTTAGTAAAATCTTGTCTTTAAATGCTTTAACTTGTAAAATTTTACAATAATTTTTTTGCTAAAAAAATAGATCCATGTTGGGATCCTTTTTAATAATAATATTAATGAAAACTTTTAATTTTTTTTATCATGTTCATTTTGTGATAATCTAAAGATTCCAGTCTCAAGAATCCTGTGGAGCAACACGCGCAATATTAGCGAAATATAATATCACATGTCAGCGCATTCCATGTCAAAGGGGCTGTCATCTGGTGCATTTCTTTGGGTCAGTGAAACTCGGCTACGGGCGGCGCGCACTGCTCTCTCTGCAAAGGTCTCCCTTTTCTCTTACCCTCTCTCACGGCTCTTTTTACAATGTGTACATTTCTGCTCCATTACTTAGCATGCAGCAGTAAACACGGTGGACCCACTTAAGGGGAATCGGACACTCAAGGGAAAATGGCTACAAAAGTGACAGTTTGCTCAGTTGATGGAAACTCTGGTGTGGGCAGAGTGGTGCTCTCTCTTCTTGTCGACCAAACACGCGGAGAGAGCTCTTTTTATGCACAGCTCTGGGCTGAAATGATTGAAATTCATAAAGACTAAAGCGAGCGAACGGCCGGTGCTGCCGAGCGCCACCAGTAAATCAATATTTAATATTACATAAACGCACCACCTCTTTATTAATATTTGATGAACTCCTCTGTCACTGTGGACCTGCAATTTATGTTTAATCATTGGATTCCAGAAATAAAAGTAAAAAAGTGATTTCCATGAATTTAACATGAATGGCATAAAAAATTTGATTTCCATGCCATATTTTGGAATTTTTATTATAATCAATTTTATATGAATATTCCTAAATTATTTAAATAATTTTATGTGAAAGAAATCTTAAAAGTGTCTTTCATGAAATCTTTCGATTGAGCCGAACGAGCCTCTTTAGATGTCAAGGCATCCGTTATATTTTTCTACTCTTATTATTCATTATATTTGTATTAGACAGATTGAGAAGAACTTTACATTTAAATTTACATTATAAGCAAATAGTTTTGTAAAAGTAAAAAAAGTGAATGCCGGATTATTCCAATTATTATGGAGGTAATTTTAATTTAAACTTGTGTAAGAAATTAGGGTTAAGTGTTGAGCCGAGTTTTGTTCAACAAATTGCGCCACTTTGAAATTTAAACTTTCCACGAGTGGCAATCAGTGGCTCGGTTGCGAAAGTCGACATTTTCTTGCAGCGCCAGACACAATTGCCGTAATGCAGCGGCGCGGCAGCTTTGTTGCACGGGGCTTCTTTCTGCCCACTTAAGCCTTCCGACTCAACTTGAGATGCACATACAAACACACATCAAGAGGCAACGGCTGAACTTTGTCAATTAGCGATTTGTGAATAATGGAATAGGCGGTGCAAGCACAAGAGCCATTCTGCCCTGCCGACACAAATACGCCCCGCCACAAATGCACGCTCCTACACATGCTGCGAATTAGCTGAAAGTGCAAAGTTTCAGCCGCTCTCCGCCGCAGCCAGGCCCGAGAATGACGAGAGAGACAACGGTTTTGGCCTGATCTGGCTGGCAACGTTCCAATTTGCATTCGCCGAATTTCCAATACGCCGCGCGCCGCTCACTTGAATTGTCGTTGATTACCCGCTTGTTCCGGCGCAACTCTTTCTTTCTTCCGCAGATTTCGCCCAGTTCAACTAGTTATACAATTCCGTAGTCCTGGGTAAATATTGGATATTTTTATTCTTGGGAAAAGTAAGAGGCCTTGAAGGGAGATACACTTTTTAAAACTTTACACAAAATCAATTTTAAACTGGAAGGCTTGCTTCAAAATTTCACTTTTACCTCTAAAAAGTATAAATTTCATTTTATTTAGTTTATAAAATACAAAAACATTTTTTGATTTTTGATTTATTATTTCACACATTAAGTTTTTGTGAGCTTGTGATCATTTTATTTTATTTTTTATCTTCAATTAACTTGTAATTAATATTTGTAATATATACTGAAATTTACCTTAAATAATATGATTGTATTATCTTTAAATTTTAAATATATTTTTGACACTTGTATCTTTTATATAAAAAAAATTTTTCGTATTTCGTTTTTTAATATTTAAAACAGTTAATTTCATAAATCTTATTTTAATACATCTAAATAAAATGTGTTTTCAATTTTATTTAGATACTTTGTAGTCTCTATCTAGTCTTATTTAAATAAATGTAGAACATTATTCGCATCTGATTCTCATGGTGTTATTTTTTGCTATTTTTATTAGTAGAATAATTCATGAACCAAAAAGAACTTTTGATTACTTTGATTTAATTGTAGTTCAGACGGTCAAAATGTTACAAAATAAAATGTAAGAGTTTATCTCCCTCCAATATTTTCTAGTAGAATCATCGAACAAAGCCAAAAGCAAGCAAAGGAGCAAACTTTTGATCCTCCTTCGCAAAATCCTCTTTTGATTCGAAGGGGATTTCGGAGGAAAACCATTTATTTTCTCGGTGCGACCAGCAGCATTAAAACATTTCGTCTCATGAGCCGCTTTTGAATGTGGAAATAAAATATTCAGTGATTCATGTAGCAGCCGAAATTTAATATCCCCCGCCGGTGTGTGTGTGTGCGTGTGTTTGTGCAGAGAATAAAATTCAAGCCACACACTGCCATTGCTGTCACACTACAAGGATAATACATTTAAGCTCCCCTCAGTCATGTCGCTCAGCTGGGCTGATGTGTGCTCTCGCCGTTATGCCGCCGTCGCCGCCGCGCTTTTTGTCAAAACACCCTGCAAACTTTTCATCCATGCTGCGCCATGAGTGTAACTGCATTACCTGCCGCCTTGATGAAATTTGCTTTCGCAAATATTTCAAAACTGCTCGTCTGGCACTAACGCGAAAGGCCCACTTTCCCCCCTCAAAATTTTCTCCGCCCGCCCAATTAAAATTAATGAATGAAGCAGGGACGTGGTGCGTTTTGAACCTTGTCCGACCCGCGCAGCGAACAATCGTCAAAATCACAGCGGGGATTCTTTTTTCCTTCCTCCAAAGGAAAATTTTATAAATTTATGTTTACAAAAAACTACCGAAAAGTACCCCCCGGGGTGAGAAAAATGGAAATCTAGATTTATTACCTTTTAAAGAGGCGAGCTTTAGCTGCATTGGCTCAGCAGGCTCTTCCTAGTGACCAAGGTGGTATACATCTGTCAGTAGCCGAGTCCATCTGAAAGAAAATGATTTTTGTCAAACACTCTGGAATTCTGCGTTGACTGAGGTTTTTGAGACGGAGAGAGAAAAAACCCAAGAGAGAAAAGGACGAATAAAAATTCAAATGAATTTAATACAGGCGCCGAATTTGGCGGTTCAATTTGAAGGGATTTAGGCGGGAATTGAATAAAGTTTATCTGCAGCCGCCAGCGAAAACTTTTATATTCCGGTGAGTGTGCGAGGCCATGGGAGAGATGTCTGCCACGAAATGAGAAAAACCACACCGACGGCATTCCTCTAGATTTCCTCCAGATGACAAAGGCTTCATATTAGGGAATCAAAACTTTACTTTGCGTGTGACACTGTACGGTGGACATTTTCCCGGCAAACCTTGATATATCTAATTTTTTTGTCATCTCAATCATGGAAGAGATAAAGTTTGATCACAAATTATGACATTTGAATATTCTCATTTTTAATCAGTGTATATAATTAATTATAAATTATCAACTTCTAGTCAAAAATTGTTTTGAATGCATTTAAAAATTGGCTTTTCATTAATTAATATTTAAGGTATGGTTTCAAATAATAGAGATTAAAATAATAAGTTTTTTCCCTGTAATTTAATATAAATAAATTCAAAACGGAACAAAAATTAATTTCATAATAAATTTTAATATTAACGTTTTGGCGTCTTTGCAAAATGCAATTTTGAATCGAGCATTTTAAATGAAAATCGTTTGCTCAAAATTTCCAATTAAATTTATCAGCTATGCATTGGATGGCCCGAGTGCGTACGGATATGCGTCTCGATTAATTTTCAACTGCAACCGCATCAGCAATAATAATAAAGTGGTGCGGTGTGTTCTCGACACATAATCAAGTGGAGAGGCCACTCGAGTGTTGTAAACTCTCGACGTCCGCACTCTCTGGTCGGAGTCGAGCGAGGACGCCGAGTACCTGCAGCGTGATCGGCTGATTACAATCGGGCCAGCAGCGATTTCGCAGTTATTGGTGCACTCTTGGGCGAGCCATTTTCATATATGGCGCCTTTGTCCGCGCGGCTGATGGGCGCTCTCCGCGCATTGTGGGGCGCCCATTGTCATGCCAGGCAGGCAGCAAACGCGTGCATGCCATTCTTGACACCGCCATCATTCATAAGGACACAATCTGGCGCAGAGATAGGAATGCGTTTTCATTACCTTAAGAGCAGAGCCGCAGGCCGACGAGGGATTTATCAACAGTTGTAAAACGCTTCTCGCCATTAATATTGCACAAAGCGCGCTAGGGTGTGCACTACACACACCACCATTCAACTGTGGCTTTCAAGTTTTTGCCAACACACTCTTAATATAGTACGCTGAGAGGTAAAACGCTTTACGTCAAGGTGGGAATAACTCGGCATTGTGTGGAATTATTCCCATTGTACCAAAGAGGAAGGGAACGTCATCAATCTTCAGTCAACAATTCTGTCCAATCGTTTTGCATTAACATAGAATTGTTTCCATCTATTTATATATTTATATTTTACTGTGCTAAATCAACAAAAGAAATTATTATAGATCAGTACAACTTTTAAAATTATTTATCATTATATAACATTATTTAAAATTAAAATGTTTCATATTATTTGATGTTAAAAGAATAACTGTGTATTATTTACTATATTATACTATATATTAATAAAAAAAAATTTGTTGATTTTAACTTTTTTTGGAACCTTTTTAATGTAACCAATAGAACTTTAAATTGAGATTTTTCAATTAATTCAATCAATTGCAATAAAAAATATTAATTTTATTCCATCGGTAGATTTAATAACGGTATAAATACCCATAAAGGAATCTTGCTTTTAGGCAATAATATATTTTACAAACTGCCACTTTGTACTATTTAAATCCCATTAATCCGTGATCTGTGAAGCTTAAACAAACCTCATAAACACGAATCTCTGGGGAAATTCAAGCGATCTGTGAAAATTGACTTTGATGTCATTTATGCGGGAAATTAATTCAGAATCTGATTTTTTTTTTATAAAATGAACAAATGCAGACTAAGTTCAACATTATCGCAAACAAGGAAAGTCCGGATATTTAATTATTTACACAAGAATAAAATTTTTCAAAATAATTTATGTAGCTTTTTGGAATTTAAATCAAAATATAAATTTCATATCAAAGCAAAATATAATTTGATATCTTTTCGTTGTTGGCTCAGGTTTGGTTGACACAATTTCACTCTCACGTCCGAAATCTGCGGCCAAACGCAATTAGTGCGATAAGTTTTGATTGCCAATGCATGGTTACGCATCATCACTGCATGCCCGTGCACTTGGCTGTGCCATTATGACTCGCGCCAGGTAATTTTGCTTAATAATGCAACCGTTAGTCGCAATGGATGGGTTTTGTAAGAGCAGGCGTGCGTCGCTTTAATGAATTTTTAAGTCGATGATGAATTAAAGCACTAATTTATGCCGCTCCTTTGATGATGAAACTTTCCAAAAGCAACACACGACTCTTTTATGTTCAGCGAAACACAATTAAAATTTTAACGCAGAGCTTTCATGTCGAAAATAAAGTTTTTCTATTTTGTTACGCCAAAAAAATTGCAATTGTGTAAGTTCAAATTGAATGAAAAAGGTAAAGTGGAAAATGTACAAATACGGCTCGCAACCATTTCAATTGTGACAAATCATTGTCGATTCAAAACAAACAGCGCGGAAATATCAACGTCTATCATCGATTGCCGCCACGCGTATTGCCCGCTTTACCGCCACATCCAACTTTAATGTAAACGTCACTCGCGACTGCGCCAGTTAATTACAATCGGAAACAAAGGGAGAGAGAGAGCCGCTGATCAAAAATTCGTTTTTACATTCGCGTTCACGGTTTGCACGCCACGGCAGAGAGCGCAATATTGATCGTCAACAGCCGTCGGAAAAGGAAACGCTGCCGATTGAAACACATCCCATCAAAAAGCCCCAGGGTTGCAAACATCGCACCACCTACTTCGTCCTTGCCTTAAAAGTCCCCAACCGTGACTTTTCAATGTTCTATGTCCATGGTTCAATACAGCAATTCATACATTTCGATAAAAATAGATATAGTCTCGTCATTTTATAGGTATTATGTACATTTTTTTGCCCAATTTTTAATATTTGTTACTATTTTTAAGCTTCAAGATTGAATTTTTTGAAAGACTGGGAGGGACAAAGAATTATTTGATGAGAAACTTTTTAATTTTTTTATGACAGGAAACAAAAAGCTGATTTATCATTCAACAGTTTCCACGATAAACCTTATTTATTTTATTTTATTTTTATTTATTTATTTTTTTTTATTAAGATTACATAAATTGCAATATCTCTTCAGTCTTCATGTCTCTTTTGCGGGCTGCAGCCTCATTTAATATTATTAATTTGGCAAAATGTTTTGCAATTTTTTTTTGCATTTTTTTGTTTTTGTGTTGGTACTGATGAGTCTCAAACATTTTATTTGTTCAATAACTGCAGTTCAAAATATTATCTTTCATCAAATTTTTACTGGATATTTGATTAATTTTTGAGATATAAATTAACCATACTAAATTCAGCTTTAAAAGATAAAATTAATTTCGATTTATTAAATATTTCAGTATTATTAATTAATTTGAAATTAAATATTAGGAAATTGCCTTGGTCATTGCCGAGAGTGAAAAAGGCACTTTGCGAAATTTACGAGCGAAAATGATAAATTGGACTGAGAAACTTTTCGCAAGAATAAATCTTCGCGTGTGCACCAAATAAAAACATTCGAGTTGGCTCTGCTCACAGTGAAATGCACCGAGTGGCGTCTCTCGCCGGGGACGGCTTTGGGCGCCATTAATCATCCACCCAAAGGGCTAATTGCCAGAAGGAAAAGCCTTTCCGTTCCTCTTTCCTTTCCTTGACCCGCAACGGTTATGCAACACGTGTGCGCGACGTGTGCCTCCACAAGCAGACAAACTGAGAGCGATTTAAAACGCTGCAAATCCGCCAGCGCAAAAAAATAGCCGACGGAAGCCAAGTCCTATTAGCGGCATCATCGCGGTAATGAAAACATTGCTCATATGCGCGTGAGCCTTCGCATACGTTGTTTAATTAAAAAGGCAAAATGCGGATGTGCCCTCTGCTCTCGCCCCGCGCACCTCCATAATACAAACACTCGCAGTCAAAGATAATGGTTGGCGGGCTGCACCGGCCGGCCTTTTATCCGTTTTACCCAAAGCTTGGCGATTCTGTTTGTTTTTAGCCCGTAATAATTGGCTTGACCTGCGCTGAAAAAACGTTGGCTGCTCGTACTATCGACTTTTTATTTTGCTGATTTTGTTAGAAAAAAATGACAAGTTTATCCAAGTTTGCCGATAAAAAAAAAAAAATTATAAAGTGTACTAAGGGTGGTAAAATTGTTGCTTTTGCAACGTTGACTTGTAAGGTGAATTATATGTAAACAAGTATTTTTCCTGGTTTGCAGGTTTTGTGCAAACATTTCCATTTTAAACGAATATTTAATGGTTGAGTTCAAGGAAATGTCTTTTTTATAAACCCCCCTTAATTTTTTTTTTGCCATGTTATTTGAAATTTATCATTTCCAATTAAAAGTAGGATTATTTTTGGCAAAATATTAGCATATTTTTGGTAGACGGGAAAGTGAAAACAGTATATAATTCTCTGAAGAGGAAAAAAGTTTTCAGCATAAAAAAAAACATCAATATTACAATAATGGTTCATCGGTGGTGCAAAAAGGCAATTAGGGGTATCACCTATATTTTTCCCATCGGCGGTGGAAATATTGCTGACGTAAGTGTTATTCAAGATTATCAATCAAAAGTTGCCATAATAAAGACGACTGCGAATAAATGGAAAACGATGATGAAAAGCTCCATTCATCAATTCTGAAAAGGGGCACATGATCGACATTTTTTTTTATTTACAACGGGGACGAAGGGACATATTTTAATGATTTGGAGATGACAAGCGGAAAAATAGGGCCAATTTCG